CTTCATTTTCTCTGATGCACTAACTCTGCAGCAGCTCTTCTTCTTCATCGTCTCGTCTGATGCACTCACTCAACCAAGCGTTCTAACCACAACCTCGCCCCTCCCCACCCCCCCAACCATTTGAATTTTTGTAGGCAGGAATTATTTGTAATGATATTCTAATGAGCCGCTTTGTGACATCACAAAGCCCGGAAAACAAACGCTGTAGTCCAAACGAGCCGTTCGTTGTAGTTCTTGAAAAGGGATTTTTTTAAAAACGAAATATCTCCCTTTGGAGTGGACTTTGAGATTTGTAACTTTCTAGATCTTTTTTATGCCCAAACATACACACTACACACTGACTAAAATTTAAAAAGTGAAAAAGCATAATAGGACCCCTTTAAATGTTCTGAATACTAGCAAAAACTACACAATGTGCGATATGCCCTATCCTGCAGGAATAGTATGGGACATACGCAAGTATTCTGTTCTGATCGTAGTTATTGATAAATTACAGTAAAATTACCTTTAAATTTGGATTACTGCTCACAATCAGTCCATCATCTTGATAGTATATTTCAGTGTAATTATGTCCAATGAGTTGCCTAAATTACAGTAAACATTTATTTAGGACAACCTTAAGAGTACAATGGTGTATTTCATACTATTAAACATCCAAATGAAATGTACAGAAAGCTCCAAGATAAGACTTTGAAATATAATACACCCAAACACAACACTCACCTGTTCTTTTCCAAATGAATCACATGAGTTTTCCCTCCAAAGAATAATTTATATGTGAGTCTATCAGGATAAGTCTCATGGCTTTGTGGACTTTTATCAGACTGTACCTGCAAAGGACTGATGTGTTAATCCACACATAAACAACACAACCCTATGGTTGCTTTTATCCTAAAACTACAAATATAAAGACAAGTTGAATTCAGGCATATCTTGCTGCTGTAACAGTAAGATCCAGGTTGTAAATGGAGGTACCTTTCTGACGCTCTGTCTTTTAGGTCTCACCACATCAAACCGCTCCACATGAGGTAATGTATGAATACTCTCTGCCACACATCCTGATGAGAATCAAAAGATATTTTGATATTTCATAAATGCACTATCAATACCACCCACAAACGTTAACAGCATTCTATAAAGATAAATAGGTTTCATAGTCCTAATTAAGGATAAACTTTACTGGCCACAAATTACCTTTAAACAGTGTCTGTATGTTACTGTATATTATACTACTCAAATCATGTTGTAAAAATCTTAAAATCTGACCTTCAAAATCTCTGCAGCACAAAAATATCAAAATGAATTGCAAGAGACTTTCCCTGATTTACTTTTTAAATACTTCAGATAATTAACCTACTAGGGACATGGCCAGAGTACGAAAATTATTGTATATTAAACATTTCCCCACATTTAAAATGAGGAAAAACAATAAGCAAATGTAATTAAAAGGACGCATAACATAAAATGACAAATATTAAAAATGCATTTTTCTATCAAATTAACCTAAAGAACAGAAAAGTTCCTCCATCACACTGTATAGCCTACTATTTTATGATTATCCCATTCGCAGGAATGTAAATAAATATAAATACATTCACACGGTTAAATCTTTCAGCGCAAATATGCTTTATAATCACATGCATTAAGGAATAACACATATTTCTACATAATTAAAGGAATATCATACATACCCCAAAGACAAAGACAGCAAAGTACATGAGTTGTGAAGGCAGAACACGGCATGATTACTGTGCGTTAGGGTTCATGTCTGGCGAACTACATGCCAAAAGATAAACTTGGGGTCCGCCCAAGTGGGCTGCATTTTTTCTTATCAGGACAAACGCAAACACAGAAGAAATAGATAGAATGACCAATAGCACGGGGCAGAAGTTTCGAAAGGGGCGGAGCTTAGAGACGTCACGAAGGATCGAAATAATCATTCTCGTAATCTAACAAATTGAACTGTTTATTTTTAAATTCTATTTCGATATACAGTTTCGCAGTGTTATTATGTAGGTGTAAATTGTTGTCCATACCGCTGCTAAAATAGACGTTGTCACGTGGTAGCTGTTACTTTTCTCAGCGCTGGTTTTGGGCAACCAATCACATTCGTTTGTGATTACACGATTAAGTGTTTTTAAATGGTTTTCTATCGGCCGCTGAGGTGAATTTTCACTTTTGTGTTAGGTTACACTCTTTGAAACTTATAGGATTAAGTCATTTGACTTTTTAGTGTACAAAACACGACCTGAGATTTGAATGCGGATCAACGGAGCCATCGGTGATCTGGGCCTCTCTCCGATGCCCCTGCATGAACACAGACAGCGGTGTTTCCTACTCACCACCCAGCGGGACACACCGCAACATATCCCGTAATGACAGTGACTCATAACATTACAGGAAACACGTCACGTATTAAACCGTAGCTATGTTTAACATTTAGTTATAGCTTTAGAGTTCGTTTATTTCATACATATCTTCTCATAGTTGTATAATTGACGTTTATTGGACAGGCTACCGAATTTACAGCTGCAATACTGGAATTAAGGGTCCAATAAACCCAGATATCCTTCTGGACATAGTGACTCTTTCTTTCTCTCTTTCTTTGAAAATAAATGTTCCTAATAGAGGTTAAACACATATTAACTATGTGTATATTGACATTATCTGTTTTAATAATATAGTATTCCAATCAGTGTTGGGGAAAGTTACTTTTAAAAGTAATGCATTACAATATTGCCAAAAAGTAGTATACTTCAAGTTTATTTTATTAAGTATACTTAAGTAAAGTACAAGTATATTTTTTAAGAATACTTTATGTAGTAAGTATACAAATATCAGTGTACTAGTAGTATACTTGTAAGTGTACTATTTCAATACTCCTTGGGATTAAATTGGCCCACTTTCTAGTATATAAAAGTATACTTTTAAGTATAACAGTAGTAAACATTAAGTACACAACTAGTTTACATCAACATTTTTAGCTTGTACTGCAACTATACTAAAAGTGAACTTATAGGTATACTGATAGTTTACTCATTAAATACTTGTAGTAGAATTTTTAGTACACTGAAGTATAGTCTCAGTAAACTACTAGTTTAGTAGTTTTATACTGCAAGTATACTCGTAAGTTTTCTTTAAGTGAACTTTACATCATACTTTAAGTATACTACTACGTCCCTATTTAGGTATTAATTTGTATATATTTTGTTACATGAATATCTGAACATACAAAACATTACAAGAACAGGGTATCTGCTTGTAAACAAAAACATTTTATAATAGCTTCATGCATTCTTTTTTTTAAACACTTGAATGTGGATAAGTTTCATAAATAAAAAAATAAAGAAATAAACAACATTTTGAACAAAAAGCTGAAAAAAGACTATGAATTGGATTCAGAATGATAATCAAAACGTAGATAAAGTCGATCAACACCCCAAAGCTTGACAGTCATTATTACCTCTTCATTGGTCGACATTTTATTCCATAGCGTTACACAGTTTTGATGCTGTTTTATGTCTGGCGATCGAAGCATCTGTTGTTTCGGTTTCTTCTTCACTTGTGTTTTTTGGGAAATTCTGCATAGAAGATGTGTACTAGTGCCCCCTACAGTATAACAATGGAAACACGGATTCTAGGAGCACAATTATAGCTAAAATATATTTAGACTTTTTCTAAGTCAAGTATACTTAAATGTCATTTTAAGTATATTTCTGAGAAGTACATAAAGCCCATTTCTGAGAAGTACATAAAAAGTAGACTAAAAGTATACTTTCCTATTTTTAGTTTAAAAGAAGTATACTAATAGCACACTTGAATAAACTTCTTTTTCGTAAGGGACTCCCTAAAAACTTTATATGGAAAGTAATGCGTTATATTACTTTTGCGTTACTTTCGCGTTACTTTTTAAATATAAGCAGGGCTTGATTGTTTTTAATATGAGAAGTTCTATTTATAGCAAATGTAAAAGCCCTTTCACACCAAAAAGTGTAATGAATAAACCTCAGGCTGAAGCAAAAGTAAATTCACGTCTGTACAGTAGAACGCAGGAGAAGAAACACTCTTCAGCAATAAAAAAAAACAAAGCACAATTGTTAGTTTATCTAAAGTCGTTTTTGCCTATTAGTATGGTTGAACTGAAAGTGACGTGACATGTGGCCAAGTATGGTGACCCATACTCAGAATTAGTGCTCTGCATTTAACCCATCCAAAGTGCACACACACAGCAGTGAACACACACACACCATGAACACACACCTGGAGCAGTGGGCAGCCATTTATGCTGCGGCGCCCGGGGAGCAGTTGGGGGTTCAGTGCCTTGCTCAAGGGCACCTCAGTCGTGATATTGAAGGTGGAAGAGAGCACTGTACATTCACTCCCCCCACCTACAATCCCTGCCAGTACGAGACTCAAACCCGCAACCTTTGGGTTACAAGTCCGACTTTCTAACCATTAGGCCACAACTTCCCCTAACTGGATCATCAAAGGTCAGCAGCAAAGACATTGGTTAATAAAATGGGATTAGATACATTTGTGTTATTTAACATATTTAATTATTGCAGGTTTGCGTCATATTCTGAGTTTGCATTTCACCGTTTTAATTCATTTTGATGAATACTAAATCAGTTTTTTGTGAGTGGGATGAATTAATGCACATTCACATTTAGTCTAGAGCTACAGTAACATCATGTTCACACAGCGCACACAACGCCTCTGCACTCCCGATTTCTCCCAATATGGGGACAGGAGACTTGTCAGTCAATAAATGGGAAAACAAAGTAACTGGCATTACTTTTTTGAAAAAGTAACTCAGATATTTTCTTGTAAATTAAAAAAGTAATGCGTTACTTTACTAGTTACTTGAAAAAAGTAATCTGATTACGTAATCTCGCAATACTTTGTAATGAGTTACCCCCAACACTGATTCCAATACATCATCACGTTATATAAACTGAAAAATTATCATCCTGCCTGAGTTTGCACTTGACAAAAAACCTATTTCACTTGCATATCATAACCACTAGAGGACAGAAAGATCATAGAACACATATGTCTGCAATACTATAGGCTACATCACACAAAGATTATGTGTCTCATTAAGCCATAAAACCTCTTACATGCCTTGCACATTAATTCACAATGTACATGTATTTATTTAGTTAGTTTGCTAGACTTTTTATTTGGTCTCTTCTTGAAAACTTGCTTGATATTTTTTTTGCTGTTTGCAAGGATTCATATTTTGACATCTTTGAATGCACCAAACTTGGAAGAATAACAGATTGGGGCAGTGGTTGAGCAGTGTCCAAAATCATACTCCGTGAATGATGTGAAAAGCAAGATTATTGTTTGGGGGCCTGCTTTTTCATACACCATGCCAGAGAATCATTCAACAGTATAAAAATAAAAATGTCAGTGTACATAACCTGGTGTGGCACTGTAATTGAAAAGTAATGATTAGCTCCCTTAAATGTGAGATGAGTGTAGAAAGAGTCTTTACAAGAAATACATTTGTAAAATAACAGAAAGTAGTGGCAGCTCATTACCAGAACATTATCCATTAATTTTATGGACAGCTCTAAAACACAACACAATACAGTGTCAAATTCAAAATACAGGTAAAACTAAATAAATAAAATAAATAAATACAAAAATAACCATTTTTAAAATAGATTTAGCATTGTTATATTCATAAAAGTTACATTGGTTCAGCTATTAATTCTTTAGGAGCTAATTATACTGTCAATAGATGCTTTTTCAAAATGTTCTTTATTAAATGTCCCTTTTAGTCAGTCTCTTTTCCAGAAGCTTGGATTTTTTTCAATTTCCTATTGCGATAATTATCATGAAATTGCAGCTGGCGTTCACAATGGTTGCTTGTGTGATTCTCTGACTAAATGTAGAATGTGTCATCTTAATTTACGCAAAGTTTTGCAATCAGAGACAAGTCTGTTTAACAAGCTGTAGAAGACTAATAGTCCTTTTTAAAGGGGCAGTCCATCATACACACAAATCCTGCTGATGTCAAAAATATAAACGATACATCATATTACGCAGATGGAAGAGATCCTTTCAGAAGGTACAGTGAGTAATAAGTGTTCTCCCACAAGCTGAAGTATATTTTATTTCAGGTAGCTGCCAAAGCAGCATTTCTTATGTTCATTTACTATAAATGAATGCACTAAAACAAACAAAAAAAACTATATATATATATATATATATATATATATATATATAAAAACAATGGTGTTAGTGTTGGCATTGCTGTTCAGATGCTGTCACTAAGGCTTTTAGTGGTTCTTTTATACAATTTCAGACTGTATTGATCATCTTCTGTGGCACAGCTACAGAACTGTCACAGAGCAAGTGTTTGTTCTCAGGCCTGTTTCACACTGCTCACAAAAGCAGTGTGTATTTATTTCACAGCCAGTATGTTAGCACTTTAGATCAGTGCTTCTCGACTGGTCTTACTTCAGGAGCCAGATTTTACTTGAGCTATCAAGTGGCATACACAAAATTATTTATCTAACAAAAGTAAACAAAAAAAAGTAAAAACATAAAATAAAATCTAAAAAGTTTGCATGGGTGTTTAATGTTTTTTGACATATTTGATATTGTTACATTTGTGTGAACATGGAGATGTGTGTGAAGGAAAAGACACCTACATTTTATTCAGAGGTCTAAACCGAGCAAATGTATTTAACTTGGTGCACATTTGATGGCAAAATTAAGATTTGCAATGTAAAATTCATTGAGATCTTTTTAATAGGCCTGTAGCAGACTACTTATATAAAATGCATATAAATATGTCACTCTG